TTGTGTTGTATACCTACAATGTACCAATAAAAGAATTTAATACAAAAAAAAATAAAACATTGTTAAGAAATGCCTTGAGCTCTTCTCTGAATTGGCAGAAGATAAAGAGAACTACAAGAAATTCTATGAGGCATTCTCAAAAAATCTGAAGCTTGGAATCCACAAGGACTCCACTAACAGGCGACGCCTTTCTGAGTTGCTGCGCTATCATACTTCTCAGTCTGGAGATGAGATGACATCCCTATCTGAGTACGTGTCTCACATGAAGGAGACACAAAAGTCCATCTACATCACTGGTGAGAGCAAGGAGCAGGTGGCCAACTTTGCCTTTGTGGAGCGCGTGCGGAAACGGGGCTTCAAGGTGGTGTACATGACTGAGCCCATTGATGAATACTGCATACAGCAGCTCAAGGAGTTTGACGGGAAGAGCCTGGTCTCTGTGACCAAAGAAGGCCTGGAGCTGCCTGAGGATGAGGAGGAAAAAAAAAAGGTGGAGGAAAGCAAGGCCAAGCTTGAGAACCTGTGCAAACTCATGAAGGAAATCTTAGATAAGAAAGTTGAGAAGGTGACAATCTCCAATAGACTTGTGTCTTCACCCTGCTCCATCGTGACTAGCACCTATGTCTGGACAGCCAACATGGAGAGGATCATGAAGGCCCAGGCCCTCCAAGATAACTCTACCATGGGTTACATGAGGCCAAGAAGCACCTGGAGATCAACCCTGACCACCCCATTGTGGAGACGCTGCGGCAGAAGGCTGAAGCTGACAAGAATGACAAGGCTGTCAAGGACCTGGTGGTGCTGCTGTTTGAAACTGTGCTACTGTCTTCTGGCTTCTCCCTGGAGGATCCCCAGACCCACTCCAACCGTATCTACCACATGATCAAGCTAGGTCTGGGCACTGATGAAGATGAGGTGACCGCAGAGGAGCCCAGTGCTGCTGTTCCTGATGAGATTCCTCCCCTCGAAGGGGATGAGGATGCATCTCACATGGAAGAAGTTGATTAGGAGCTTCCACTGTAGGAAACCTGTGCCCTCTGTATAGTGTCCCCACGGCTCCCCCAGCAGCCTGAGTGGCCCTGTCCCACCTCGCTCCCTCTGCTGATGTCTAGTGGTTTCTCCTGCCCTGTGTGGAAAGCAGGAAGCAAGAGCCTCAAGCCCCACCCCTCCATTATTTGACAGCAGGGTTGGATGTTGTGTACTGTGATCTTATTTTTTGTTTATTTTGTTCTGAAATTAAAAGTATGAAAAATAAAGAAGATGAAGTTTTATACTAAATAAATAAATAAATAAACTAAAACTAGAAGTTCTATTTGAACCAGCTATTTCCCTTCGTGGTATATTCCCAAAAGAATTAAAAGCATCATACCACAGTGATATACGCACACTCACATTTTCAGTAGCACAGTTTCTAATAGCTAAATCTTGGAAACAGCCCAAATGCCCATCAACTGATGAATGGATAAAGAAAATGTAGGTTTTTTTATACAATGGAGTACTATTCTGCCATAAGGAAGGATGACCTTCAGACATTTATAGCTAAATTGATGGACCTTGAGACCATATGCTTAAGTGAAATAAATAGGACACACATGTGTAAACGCTGTACTGTTTCTCTGGTGTGAAAAAATGAAAGTGGAAATAAGGACTAAAATGTATACTAGAGATTGGGAAATGGAGAAAAATGTTCAAATGGGAAGGAGAATGAGGAAGAAGGGAGGAAGAAAGGAAGGAAGGGACAAGAAAAAATGTGAAAATAGAAGGAAAAATGGAAGGGGCTTGGGATTTAGCTCAGTGGTTCCGGCGCCTGCCTAGAAGCTCAAAGTCCCAAGTTTGAACCCTAGTACAAAAAGAAGAAGAGGGAGGAGGAGGAGGAGATGGAGGAGGAGGAGGAGGAGGAGGAGGAGGAGGAGAAGGAGAAGAAGGAGAGGAAAATAGAAACAAAGCTTTTGTACATAGGGAGGTGATGTGGCTTGCAAGAAGGTAGGGAAGGGGAAAAGAGGTGGGATTACCGTGTACAGGTGCACATTCCCTATGATGAGTGTTATCATTATGTATGCCTAAAATGTACTAATCCATGTTTTGCTATTTAAAAAAAGTATCAAGAGCATAGAATGAAACTCCAGAATCTGATGACACCTTTGAAAGCTGGCTCTTGCAGATGTTCCTTTTCGATCCAGTGGCTCAGCTGGGCTGTGACATTGCAAGCATGCCTTAGCATGCAGGACATGTTCATCCTCAAGAAGGGGCGACCTTTCACAAGAGAGCTAAAGTTCACAGTCCAGGTCTAGGTGGATTGGTGTGCAGAAAAAACAGAAAGCCAGAAAATAGATGAGGGCTGAAATTTCAGGAAGATGCTTTCTTCAGGAAGGAGGGAGTCTCTGAGTCTGGGAGTTCAGTATCATTTTGAGACCTGCAACAATGACTGTGCCCAAGGATGCTGTAGGTTGTGATCAACATAAACAAACAGCAAGAAGACTCTCCCTGATGTAAGTTTCTTCCCATTGTAGAACTAGACTGTTCAGTGTACCCACTCTTAACAGGGTGAAGGGAGAGCAGAGTGGCAGAAAACGTGAAGAGCTGAGAAAACAGGCCACACACTGTGGTGATTTCAAATAAAGCAAAAATATTGTCTGTGTGCATTACCCACCTAGAGGGGCAGCCATGTGCAATTTCCCAAATAAGAAGTCATCACGGTGCCTGCCTTTGGAAAGCAGGAGTGGAGACAAAGAGTCACTTCAGACAACTGCAATTTAAGTAAAACAACAGCTTAATAAAATGCCAGCAGCTCCCTCACTATTTAAAAACAGATGGGCTTTGCTACCCAGGAGGAAGGAGAATTTCTAGACACGCTGCGATTAGTCTGTCTTCACCCTCCATGGAATCATTAAAGCTCTGAGAAGTGAACACAGTGATGAATCTCCAACTTGCTGAAAAGCTTCAGTGCTCTACGTCAGATCTGATCAACACAAAACCCTTATCAGTTTCAACTTACAACACAGAGAACAGACTTTATGAGCAAATTTTTAATAGTTTGACAAAATATTTTTACAATCTTTTTCTCTTTTTAAGATTGAATGTCTATGAGGCTAACAAGAAAAGTAACTTTTCAAGGTCAAACCTATGAGTTCTATTCCTGTATGTGTATATGCATAACAAGTGTGTGTCTGTTATACACACACATGTGTGTCAGCTGTAGAATGCATAGATTGCCTCCCTGCCAGATAGGGTGAGAAATTCAGCTCAGAACATTCCAGAACGTCTCCAGTTTTGGGCCTGAGTGATTAGGACAGTTGGTCACTCTTAGCCTTAAGGTCCCTATGTGCTACAAAACACTGCAGTGCCTTTTTCATGAAGACGGTCCTAGCATCAGTTAGGGATCTCCAGAGGAAATGATTTAATATAAAACGTGTATATGATTAGATGAAGGATTTACTATGTGAGCTTGCAATGGCTGCCTGTGGAGTCAGGGTGGAAGAATGCACCGTGGCCGTCTGTGCACCAGAGAACTGGAGGCTGGAGTGGAAGGCCAAAGGTCTGGAGCTCACTGGAGAGTCTGGTGCGAGTTCATCTCAGAAAGCTGAAGGAAGAGTCTGCGTTGGAAGCCTGGAGGAACTGGAGACAAACATCCAAAAGCAATGGTGGGGACTGGAGCTCCTCTGAAGAAGCAAAAGGGCAGACTTCCTTCCTCTCTCCCTTTTTATCCCTTCTAGGCCACAAGCCTACTGCTTGGTGCCACACACATCTGGGGTGGGTCTTCCCCATTTGTGGCCTACATGACAGTCCTTCACAGACACACCCAGAACTGTGCCTCACTCATCTGCTGGGCATTTTTTAACCCATTCAAGTTGTCACGTCACACCCCTGATGTCAGAAGGAAGCCATGAGGCCCCACTTATTCCCGACTCTGACATAAGAAACTGCCACCTGCCTTCCCTTCATGAGGAACAGGAAGCCAAAACATTGGAGATGAGAGCTTCAACTAAACCTGCTTCAGGCAATCTTAGGAAGTATCAAAAATTCTGGGTGTCCTTTGTCACACGCCCTGCAGGATGCTTAAGATGAGGGGCCATCCCACTCCCTCATAAATGTGGGAGTGGCCCTGGCCAGCTCCGGCCACCTGAGTTCTCTTGGTTTGGCTCTGACTAGCTGTGTGATAATGAGAAAATCACCTCTCCCTGTGGTTAACCAGCCAACTGGCAACCAGATAACAGAAGGCAGGGTTTGGGGCTCTCTTCCCAGGTGCCCCATTCTGCACTATCCCTGCACAGCTGCAGGCATTAAACCCTGCTCAAAGACTATGTAAATAGGGCCGGGGATTTAGCTCAGTGGTTTTGCCGCCTGTTTCGCAAGTACAAGGACCCAAGTTCGATCCCTAGTACCAAAAAAAAAAAGACTATGTAAATATGACCGGTGTTACCCATGTAACCCAATTAGTCCTTCCTGATTAATTGGGAAAGTCCTACAAACTTATATATATTCTTTGCTTATCTGCAAGCTAAATTAATACTGATGTCAATGCCATATCTATCCCAGATCGTCTTAAGTGATTGTAATTGTATCACTTGTAAAAAAATAAATTGCTCATTATATAAAATGTCTAGTCACTATTCTGTAAAAGTGGGTATCTGTCTCCACTACTGGACAACATGAGGCATCAATATAGACCTTCAATGGGACATTTTTCTTCAGGCTCCTGAGAAACTCTGGTAGGAGTGATGAAGTTGTAAACAACAGGTCCCCCAACACTGCTGATCCCTCATGATCAGCGCTGGCATCTCTCCCTAAACGCTGCAACCACCTAGGATTTCTACTACATGGAAGCCAGTTACTGACACTATACCTCCATATTAGTCATGAATGAAAACATGACAATCAGGATCACCTAATCAGTGACTGGTGGCTTTTGTGATAGAAGAAACTGCTAGAGTTTTAACCTGTTTCCTCTAAATGGAGAGATATGTTTTTATCTGAATATATATACTTTTTTCCCCATTAAAATTTGATTCTAATTCCTTTAGATATTATCCCATCATAACATTTACCCAAAAAGAAAGCTCCTATCATGTCAAAGTAGAAATAATAAGATACTGAGACAACATTGTGTCCATTGTGGCTGATTATCAAAGTCAAACATTCTAACCCACCAAGGAACTGTTCCAAATTGAAAGAGAACAGACTCACCTTCTTCATCATCACTTTTTGACCTTAGGATGTCTGCAGGATTGATTCTTTATCCATTCACACCTTTTGTGCTGAAGGAGGAGAGGTCAGTAAAAATTAATTAAAAGAACCACTTAAGCAGAAAAGAGAAATTTACCAAGCAATTTCCTACTTCTTGGTGAAAACCTCCTCCCAGGCCATAGTGTCTCCTGAAGAAGTGGCTTTATTTTGTGATTTAACAGTAGGATATTTCGTAGCTCATCCCATCTGCATCCATTTTCACAATGACTGAACAAATCCAATTAGCTTTCAGTGGGCCAAGTAATGGTTTTCTTAAAAGATTGGGAACACTTTCTTAAACATGAAGGTATACAGGCATCTGCTGTGGCTTCTTCCAGCCAGGCTCCAGTTAGTAGCAACCACATGTCTTTTTCCAGTATACCATAGCAAAATTTTTGCTACAAAAAAACAAAACCATGGGGCTAAAGAGCCAGTTTAGCGTGTAGATGAGGAGACACCAGGCCTCCTTGTCATTTACAGGTTGTGATCTTGACTGGGAAAGAAAGGAAATTAACATCTTTGCTGGACCTACTGAATGCTTGTTTTGGAAGACAACCTGAAGATGCCTTGGGAGTCATTGTCATCCTTGGACCAGGTAGAATCCAAGGTATCTTCTCATGCTGGGTGATCCTAGAAATCAGTTGGCTTCCCAGAGGTTTCTACCTCTGGGAATGCTCTGCAAGCACAACATTGCTGTCTCCAAGACCTTCAGATTCAAGAGAAATAGGACATATTGTAGTGGGTTCATTACATTCACTGTCCAATGCAGAAGACATAAGTGCATGACACACGGATGACCACATATGGTTAGCCATGTTCAAGTGAGGCCACCAATCTAATCTAGACAAGTAGTCTCCATTTTACTAATTAGCTAACACTCTTCTCTAAAGTTACTGGCCATGCAGTATTGTTTACCCATATTACCTCAATATTCAAGAGTCTACTCTGTGGGTGTCTGACACAGAACTACAGACAATGGGGATTCCAATCTAAAACGGACATGGTCACCTGTGACCACAAGTGACCAACCCATCGGCATGAAGACCTCTGCACTCCAGTTCCCTAACTATATTTAACCAAATCTAAGACACATCCTGCCAATTGCAAGATGATGCTGCCTGATTTCTGAGATGGTAGAAGGTGAAACGCAGCATTTTAACTCTCCCTGCACTTGGTTCAACTCTGTGTGAACCACACGTACAAGAAAATAAGAAACTGAAAGTGCATGATAGTTTAGGGTGGACATGAGGCACTTCTTATCAGGAAAGAATGCTGTCGTATAGACTGCGCATTAAACCAGTGGTGACAAACCCAGTGCACTCATGGCGCGGCAGACACACAGAGCCCTCTCTGTTGGCAGAGGACCCGAGTCCAGCGCTGCCCCAGCAGCTAACTGCAGTGTCGGCACTCTGTGATAAATAAGTGAGTTCGAGGTTGCAGGTTGGCCACTCGGTCCCGAAAAGTTTCACCTCCACTGCATTAAAGCTTTCCTCCCAAGCTTCAATACCTTATACTCCCACGATCTAACCTATTATCCTCATCTGAATACACCCTTTGCACACATTCACAGAACCAGTTTCAGTAAGAACTGACAGGGGAAATACCTTTTTAATAACCAACGAAAATGAATTGGCATGAAAACTGAAAAAATATCTATACACTATGTGTTAGGGCCATAGGGAAAAAAATAATAATAATAATTAGTTTTTCAAAATCAGTGCAATACTGTTTGGGAGGCTAAATTCTGCATGTTTCAAGTATATTTTATTCTAGATAGAAATTTCTAACTATATAGCAATCATATCTTCAATTTTGTTTCAGAAACTGATGTCACTATTGCTTATGTTTTTGTGGCCCAGAGGAACTTATTAAAACAACTTATTCAAAAATGAGAAGGAAGGAAGGAAGGAAAGAGGGAGGGAGGGAAAGAAAGAAAGAAAGAAAGAAAGAAAGAAAGAAAGAAAGAAAGAAAGAAAGAAAGAAAGAAAAATGAGAAGTAATTTCATTCCCATTCTTTTTGTACCATGGGAAGGAGAAAGGTTCACCATGACTAAGTATGTATTGCATACAAATAAATCACTACTTCCTAATTATATTGACTTCCAGTACTGAACTGTGGAGTTTTTAAGGCATAGAAACTTGATCCTAAAGAAACCAGAGTTCCCTGAAAGGCTTCCTCTTTTGTGAAATTATCATAGCAAAGATACTCAAATAGAAAGGCAACAGCATAAAGATGACCACCCCCCTCCCAGAACCATCAGCTCTCAAAGGGGCTGGATGCCTGCTGGGTTTCACAGCACCAGGAAGCCAGTAAACTCTTGTAACCATAGTAATCGAATGGACAGGTACATGAATGAGTGGCTTCTTAGTTACTTTCTCACCACTGAAACAAAACACGCACAGTTTAAAGAAAGCGAGTTTTATTTTGGCTCATGGTTTTTAGAGGATTCAGTGTATGGTCAGCTGGCTATAAAGCAGGAAGGGCGCGGTACCAGGGTCTGATGGACAATGGCTGCTTGCATCATGGTGACCAAAAAGAAGAGAGAGGAGGGTCACATCCCAACCAGGCCTCCTCCTAGTAGCACATCCAGCTGTGGATTAATCCACTGATGAGTATAGAGCCCCCCACAATCCAGTCCCTTCCCAAAGCCCCACCACTGAACTCATGAGGCTTTGGGGAACTTTCCAGACCTAGAGCCTAACAAATGGCTTGCACATATCACCAAGTAAGGAGCAGCTGTGGCAAGCAGAGGGTGACAGTCCCAGAACTACAGAATGTTAAGAATGGCTTTGGGAAGCCAGCTGGGAGTCCCATGGCTAGAAAGGATGAATTAGCTGAGAACAAACTGGGTAAGAGGAAAGTCATTCTATATTTCTGGAAGAGTCATGGGTGGGTTTATTCTAATCTATGGAGCCAGAGAGATTGTGCACATTCTCACAGACTGTGGAAGAAACTCAAGCAGAAAACAGATGGGCTTTCTAAATCAGGAACTTGAAGAGTTGCAAAGGCCAGGTACAACTCTGTAGGCTTCCCCTGGTGTATTCTGCAAGACCCAAATGAAGTTTATGTGGGGTGTATGACGTGAGAAGTCTTCACCATTCATTTCTTGTGTTGCAGAACTCCAAGATACAGGAGAGACCAATGGGAATCAGGAGGACTTTATTTTAGGTGAACACTGGCTCAACCAACTCCTGTCCAAAGGAAAAGCGCTGAACAAAGAAAAGTTCCAGCTTTTATATATTTGATCAAAGGGGGGTGGCCTTTCTATTGACGTAGCAAGTGAGTTTACTGGAAAAGGACAGTTTTGTCATTTATCCTTGTAAGAAGACAGTAACTTATGAATCATATGAGAACAGGGTGTCATAAACGTTGGTTATAGGACACAGTTGTCAGTTGTATCTGTACCAGAACAAGGAGTTATAGCTACAGGGCAGAGGAATTACCTAAGACTGGGAAGAACTTGTTTTTAAGTCTTTCTTCACTTGGACAGAGAGTTAGCAGCTCACGGGCAGATGGTGGTCAGGACACAAATGATGTGTCCTGCATCCTTATCCAGAGCTAGTTCTCCTAAAATGTGATGCTTTCCTGGTCTTCTGCAAGAAGGATAAGGTCTCCACTCCTAAGAATTACTGCAACAGTGGCCAAAGGAAACAGAAGAGTCTTGACTCAGTATCTGCCATTCAGCTGAGTCACATGTCCTCATCCAGAAAGGGGAGCAGAATCCACAGCTCAACCATAGAGCAGCTGCTCTCAGCCGGGGCGAGAGGAGGAAGCCCGCTTACAGCAAGGCGCCTCAGCTGCAGAACTGCTGAGCTAGTTTGTCCTTGGCCTCAGGTGTCACCCGAAGCCCTGACAGTTATACAGGGATTGCTGAATCTTTATTCCCAGCAACGAGGCGAGAAATAGAAAGTGCACAGCTGGATTTCCTGATCACAGGTTGGGTTTGCAAGGCTCAGGGATGGGGAGGGAGGGAGTCATTTTTTGCTGTGCTAATTGGACACTCGATCCAGAAGTCAAAATCTATAAAATTGAAGAGGGAATCTCACGTTTTGTCAGCTTCCTGTTCTCAGATAGGGTTGTTCTTGAAAAAGAAATGGCATTTTTTTCAGGTAATTAAATGAAACAAGCAATAAACAACCCCCCACTACCAAAAGTCAACTTAAATAATTTAAATACAAATCCTGTTTTCTCTTTACAGCTAGAGATAAATTTCTTAAGAGAAGGGAGCTTGTGACCACTTCTTTTATTACCCATGGTGCAATTTATGTAGCCAGACAGCAGGAATTAATACATCTTTTTGGAATGAGCTAAGAAATACAGAACACAGAACACAGCTCCACTCCCCACCAGGCACAGATGCACGAATGACCTCAAGGGCTTCACGGAGACTGGCACTTCCAGGCTGGGGCAGACACGCATGAGAAGAGACCAGAAAGAAGGGGCACTCTCAAAGACTGCTGGGGCTCCATCAAAAAGACTCAGGGGCCAAGGAGGAATAACCTCAATGCCCACTGGCAATGTATGAATGAATAAAAGTAACATGTCCAAAGAACGGAACATTATTCAGCAATGGAGAAAAATAAAATACCAACACATGCTACGACATAGAAGACCTTTGAGAACATTTTGTTAAGTGAAAGCAGCCAGCATCTTATTCCATTCATTTAAATTGTCCCGAACAGGAAAATCTACAGAAGATAGAAAGTAGATGAGGGGCTGCCTAGATCTGGGAGCTGCAGGGAGTGAAGAGTTGGGACTGCCAGTGGATGCTGAGTTTCTTTAGGGGATGATAAAAATGTTCCAAAATTAATTGTGGTGATGATTGTGAATCTCTGTGTACTTACTAAAAACCTGTAAATGAATGAACTGTGTTGTACGTAAACCATATATCTCAATAAAGCTGTTCAGACATACTCAGAGGCCAACTTCTGATCTAAACCTGTTACATATGACTAAATCCCTGAGTGGAAAATGATGCTTAAAAATACTGATTACCTTTTGATTCCTCTGGGAGCAAATTCATTATTATAACCAACAAGTGTGGCGATTTGAATGGGGGTACCCACCCCAGTGCATATGCTGGAAGCTAAGATCTCAGGTGCCAGGTCCTTTAGGAAGCGACTGGGTAAGAGTAGGATTTGTACCTTCGCCAGGTCACTTCAGGGGTTGAGCTATCAGTGCTCACCTGCACTGCCCAACCAGACAGCAGTCCCTGTGACTTCAGGAGAAGGGAAGCTTACACCAGCCCACGTTCAAGCAACCTTGTCAAATACCCAGGCCAGCACTGATCAGTCCCCTCTGTCCATCTACCTCCCAGCTCACAGAAAGCAGAGTGGACAGGGGGGCAGGTCAATTGGCCCAGGATGGCATAATCAGCAAAACCCAGATTCTGCAGGTTAAACACCGGCTGCTTCATGAAGCAAGGGTAGGAAAAGACCAGGAGACGTAGGAGAGATTCACCAAGTCGCCTTTAAAGAACTTGTTTGCATTATAACTGAAGTAGACAACTTGAGAAAAAACATACAAATGTGGCCTGTAAAGGCAATCAGGGGAAAAAAAACCACTAACTGCTTAATGACATGAAGGAATGGTTGTTTCTTTGATTTGTGTGCAATGAGATAACATACACACACCCTATTTTAAATTCTTAGTAAATGATTAAAGTTGCTTTGAGCAGCTTTTTAAGGTAATAAATACCTGTGCAG